AGTCATGAACATGTACCTCACCGATAACCATATATAGACTAAGATAAACTGTGATCACTCATATACATGTATCTCACCCAAAAACATACCTAGACTGTAATAAACTATAGTCACTCATATATATGTATCTCACCCATGACCATATCTAGACCATAATAAACTGTTATAACTCATAAACATGTATCTCACCCATGAACATATCTAGACTGTAATCAACTGTGATCACTCAGATACATGTATCGCACCAAATAACATATCTAGACTATAATAAACTGTGATCACTCATATACATGTATCTCACCCATGAACATAGCTTGCATGTATAAACTGTGATCGTCATATACATGTATCTCACCCATGAACATATCTAGACTGTAATCAACTGTGATCACTAAGATACATGTATCTCACCCAAGAACATACCTAGACTGTAATAAACTGAAGTTACTCATATACATGTCTCTCACCCGTGAACATATCTAGACTGTAACAAACTGTGTCCCTCATATACATGTATCTCACCCATGAACATATCTAGACTGTAATAAACTGTGATCACTCATATACATATATCTCACCAAAGAACATATCTAGACTGTAATAAACTGTGATCACTCATATACATATATCGCACCCATGAAAATATCTAGACTGTAATAAAATGTAGCCACTCATTTACATGTATCTCACCCAAGAACATACCTAGACTGTAATAAACAATAGTCACTCATATACATGTATCTCAGCCATGACCATATCTAGACTGTAATAAACTGTGATCACTCATATACATGTATCTCACCCATGAACATATCTAGACTGTAATAAACTGTGATCACTCATATACATATATCTCACCAAAGAACATATCTAGACTGTAATAAACTGTGGTCACTCATATACATCTATCTCACCCATGAACATAGCTTGCATGTAATAAACTGTGATAAGTCATGAACATGTACCTCACCGATAACCATATATAGACTAAGATAAACTGTGATCACTCATATACATGTATCTCACCCAAAAACATACCTAGACTGTAATAAACTATAGTCACTCATATATATGTATCTCACCCATGACCATATCTAGACCATAATAAACTGTTATAACTCATAAACATGTATCTCACCCATGAACATATCTAGACTGTAATCAACTGTGATCACTCAGATACATGTATCGCACCAAATAACATATCTAGACTATAATAAACTGTGATCACTCATATACATGTATCTCACCCATGAACATAGCTTGCATGTATAAACTGTGATCGTCATATACATGTATCTCACCCATGAACATATCTAGACTGTAATCAACTGTGATCACTAAGATACATGTATCTCACCCAAGAACATATCTAGACTGTAATAAACTGAAGTTACTCATATACATGTCTCTCACCCGTGAACATATCTAGACTGTAACAAACTGTGGTCACTCATATACATGTATCTCACCCATGAACATATCTAGACTGTAATAAACTGTGATCACTCATATACATATATCTCACCAAAGAACATATCTAGACTGTAATAAACTGTGATCACTCATATACATATATCGCACCCATGAAAATATCTAGACTGTAATAAAATGTAGCCACTCATTTACATGTATCTCACCCAAGAACATACCTAGACTGTAATAAACAATAGTCACTCATATACATGTATCTCAGCAATGACCATATCTAGACTGTAATAAACTGTGATCACTCATATACATGTATCTCACCCATGAACATATCTAGACTGTAATAAACTGTGATCACTCATATACATATATCTCACCAAAGAACATATCTAGACTGTAATAAACTGTGATCACTCATATACATATATCGCACTCATGAAAATATCTAGACTGTAATAAAATGTAGCCACTCATTTACATGTATCTCACCCAAGAACATACCTAGACTGTAATAAACAATAGTCACTCATATACATGTATCTCACCCATGACCATATCTTGACTATAATAAACTGTGGTCACTCAGATACATGTATCTCACCCAAGAACATATCTAAACTATAATAAACTGTGGGTACTCATTTACATGTATCTCACCCATGAACATATCTAGACCATAATAAACTGTGATCACTCATATACATCTATCTCACCCATGAACATAGCTTGCATGTAATAAACTGTGAAAAGTCATGAACATGTATCTCACCGATAACCATATATACATGTAGACTAAGATAAACTGTGATCACTCATATACATGTATCTCACCCAAGAACATACCTAGACTGTAATAAACAATAGTCACTCATATTCATGTATCTCACCCATGACCATATCTAGACTGTAATAAACTGTGATAACTCATATACATGTATCTCACCCATGAACATATCTAGAACATAATAAACTGTGGTCACTCATATACATCTATCTCACCCATGAACATAGCCTGCATGTAAAAAACTGTGAAAAGTCATGAACATGTATCTTACCGATAACTATATATAGACTAAGATAAACTGTGATCACTCATATACATGTATCTCACCCATGAACATATCTAGACTGTAATCAACTGTGATCACTCAGATACATGTACCTCACCCAAGAACATGTCTAGACTATAATAAACTGTGGTTACTCATATCCATGTATCTCACCCATGAACATATCTAGGCTGTAATAAACTGTGATCACTCAGATACAAGTATCTCACCCAAGAACATATCTAGACTATAATAAACTGTGATCACTCATATACATGTATCTCACCCATGAACATAGTTTGCATGTATAAACTGTGATAACTCATATACATCTATCTCACCAAAGAACATATCTAGACTGTAATAAACTGTGGTCACACATATACATATATCTCACACAAGAACATATCTATACTGGAATAAACTGTAGTCACTCATGTACATCTATCTCACCCATGAACATAGCTTGCATGTATACACTGTGATAAGCATATACATGTATCTCACCCATGAACATATCTATACTGTAATCAACTGTGATCACTCATATTCATGTATCTCACCCACGGACATATCTAGACTGTAATAAACTGTGGTCACTCATATACATGTATCTCACCCATGAACATATCTAGACTGTAATAAACTGTGATCACTCAGATACATGTATCTCACCAAAGAACATATCTAGACTGTAATAAACTGTAGTCACTCATATACATGTATCTCACCCAAGAACATATCTAGTTTGTGACCGCCTCCGTGGTCTTGTGGTAGAGCGTCTGCCCGGAGAGCGGAAGGTCCAGGGTTCGTCATACAAAATGACGTTAAAAGATTGTACTTGTTGTTACCCTGTCTGGCGCTCGGCATTAAGGGGCTAAAACAAGGACTGGTCGGCTCGGAGTCAGTATACTGTGTCTGAGTGGGGTATTCATGTTAAACTGCGGCATGGTATCTCAGTGAGCTAGCACTATAAATCGGCATCAGTCCGGACTAGTACAAGCAGCCACACACATACACGTACATGCACGTCGCTATATAAGTGCAATAATCTTGGACGCGACGTTAAACCCAATTTCACCTCACCTCACATCTAGTTTGTAATAAACTGTGATCACTTATATACATGTATCTCACCCATGAACATAGCTTGCATGTATAAACTGTGATAAGTCATATACATGTATCTCACCCATGAACATATCTCGACTGCAATAAACTGTGGTCACTCGTATACATGTATCTCACCCAAGAACATATGTAGACTGTAATAGCTGTGGTCACAAATATACATGTGTCTCACCCTTGAATATATCTCGACTATAATAAACTTTGGTCACTCATATACATGTATGTCACCCATGAACATATCTAGACGATAATAAACTGTGGTCACTCATATACATCTACCTCACCCATGAACATAGCTTGCATGTAACAAACTGTGATACGTCATATACATGTATCTCACCCAAGAACATATTTCGACTGTCATAAACTGTGATAGTCATATACATGTATCTCACCAATGAATGATATCTAGACTTTAATTAACTGTGGTCACTCATATACATCTACCTCACCCATAAACATAGCTTGCATGTAACACATTGTGATACGTCATATACATGTATCTCACCCATGAACATATTTCGACTGTCATAAACTGTGATAGTCATATACATGTATCTCACCAATGAATGATATCTAGACTATAATAAACTGTGGTCACTCATATACATCTACCTCACCCATGAACATAGCTTGCATGTAACACATTGTGATACGTCATATACATGTATCTCACCCATGAACATATTTCGACTGTAATTAACTGTAGTCACTCATATACATGTATCTCATCCAAGAGTGAGTGAGTGAGTGAGTGAGTGTGGTTTTCCGCCGCTTTTAGCAATGTTCAAACAATATCACGGCGGGGGACACCAGAAATCGACTTCACACATTGTACCCATGTCGGGATTAGAACCCGGGTCTTCGGCGTGACGAGCGAACGCTTTAAATACTAGGCTACCCGACCGCCCCATCTCACCCAAGAACATATCTGGACTATAATAAACTGTGGTCACAAATATACATGTGTCTCACCCATGAACATATCTAGACTGTAATAAACTGTAATCATTCATATACATGTATCTCACCCAAGAACATATCAAGACTGTAATAAAACTGTGGCCACTTATATATATGTATGTAACCATGAACATATCAAGACTGTAATAAACTGTGGCCACTCATATATATGTATGTAACCATGAACATATCAAGACTGTAATAAACTGTGGCCACTCATATATATGTATGTAACCATGAACCTATCAAGACTATAATCAACTGTCATCATTCATTTTCATGTATCTCACCCAAATACATATCTAGACTACAATGAACTGTACTGATATACATGTATGCAACCGGTGAATATATGTATGGAAAAGACCAATCTGAAGCCAATAAAAGTAATCACATTGTTGAGAGAAAAATCAGATATGGACTCACATTATCCACTTCCGCACTTGCCAAATAGTTTACACCCAAACTGTACCAGTGTGTTCTACATGGCATGAATGCACTGTGTCCTTCAAACTGTGTCGCAGTGTACTCCGAAAACATCACTGAAATCGAAAGCTTCTTCAGTATTAACTTCCGTGATTAGGGTTCAATATCAAAATCTTAAAATGCGTGTTTCACCTTCCCTATTCAAGTAATAAGCCAGCTGTGAGGTGGTGGCCGGTAAATAACCGAGTCGGGGACAATCAAACCAGTTATTGATCTGCGCAACGATCTGTGCCGTCCGGGTGCGACAATACGCAATCAACCAATACGCTGAGTCTGACCACCCGACCCATTCAGTCGCCTCCTACGACCAGCATAGGTTGCCGGGGATCAATTCTAAATCGAACTCACCATGGGTTCCCAAATTATGTCACCTCTTACGACGAGCAATGGGGTGCTGGGGACACATTGTTCCCCGTTTCCCACTTTTATTCGACTAATCCTTATCATCACCTTTACTTGATTGACCAATCCATAATGATGACCATCACTTAATCGCCATCGGTCTGAACTGAACTGAACCTTTATTTACACTCAGACCGCTATCAGCGGCATCAGAGGTACAAAATATTTCAACAGCATAATACATATACATGTAAATATAGAACAGATTTTTTTTTTAAAAACATCTTTGCCGAGTATGCAAGCATATTTAGACAGATTCACTAGGGTAGCACTATATGTGCAATTCAATGACAGGGAGAGTTACTTCAACAATGGGGCGGTCGGGTAGCCTAGTGGTTAAAGCGTTCGCTCGTCACGCCGAAGATCCGGGTTCGAATCCCGACATGGTTACAATAATGTGAAGCCCATTTCTGGTGTTCCCCGCCGTGATATTGCTGGAATATTGCTAAAAGCGGCGTAAAGTCAAACTCACTCACTCACTCACTACTTCAACAATGGCATGATGATTTACAGAATTAGGACAATTTTCTCAATGTTCCCAATCGTGAATTATTGAAAAGTACATTCATTTAATGCATATTGGGTTTGATGTTGTAGAATCTGTGTCAAAATGTTTTCTTTCGTTTTCTAAAGATGGACAAATAAATAAATAATGGAATTCATCACCTATGTCAGATAATTAACAAAGAGGGCATTTCCTTTCGGTTAAAGTTAGTTTTCTCTCCCAGTTTCAATACGTAGGTTATGGTTACAAGTTCCAAACTTACGTAAGACTCACCAAAACGTTCTTCTGCAGTACGTTTAAATAATATTCAAAATTTAGGCAATCATATTAAGCTGCTACTATACATTGTGCCTTTTGAAGACTCAAGCTGTGCTCAGTGACAACCTATGGAATCCTCTCCGGGACATTTTTTACTTAAAATATTGACACCGATCTGCTGTGTTAACGAGTGATTGAAGGGGTGGATTACTGCTGAAGAGTCGAAAGGGAATGACTTTCAACCTTAACATGCTGTCTTATAAAGGGACATAACTCTTGGGTCCCTAGTGGACAGTGCGGTAACGACTGTAAAATTTGCTTGATTGTCACATTATATTTGTAAGTACTCACATATGTTCTGATAGCGCAATTAGAAACAATTCAACTGAGGTCGTAATGTAATAGGCAGTTCTTCTTGAGGACAGGGGGCACGGAAGAAATACCTTATTCTCATAAAATGTTACAAATACACATGTTATGTCCCGAAAGAGGCAAAAGATGCGATTAACTAACATGAAAAGCCAATTTCTATGTAAAGATACTAAGCAAGCACTCGTCAGAATTAGTTTGGAAGTCTTTAGTTTATATCATTGTAATGCTACGAAATAGTATGAAAAGCTGCACCATCAGTAATAAGTAAACTACCGTTATAACGAATTCAAAGGGACCACTAATGTTAGTTCGTTATAACCGTAGTTGGTTATAAGCATATATACAGCAAAATAGTCGGGACAAAAAAGTAAGTTCTTTATATCCGTCAGTTCGTTATAAGCGTGTTCGTCATAAACGTGGTTTACTGTATATATATATATATATATATATATATATATATATATATATATATATATATATATATATATATAATATCTTGAAAACAGGAAGATAATCGACTCGCTCGGCTAGCTCGAGCCGGAAGAAATGTTGTTTTGTGCACGTGACTTTGACATGATACGCAAACGTGGCGATGCAATGCAGCCTTATAACTATACGGGGCGGTCGGGTAGCCTAGTGGTTAAAGCGTTCGCTCGTCACGCCGAAGACCCGGGTTCTAATCCCGACATGGGTACAATGTGTGAAGCCCATTTCTGATGTCCCCCACCGTGATATTGCTGGAATATTGCTAAAAGCGGCGTAAAACCAAACTCACTCACTCACTCACTTATAACTATACTGTTTCCGTGTGCGATTGTCTTCAAATCAAAATATGTTGCAAGTTTCGTTTAAGCACTGAATAACTGGTCTTAAAAATATCCGTTATGTTATACGAACTATATGCGTCTGGATCAGTTCTTACTCGTTTCACAGCGAATTCCTGTCACTACTCCAGTACTGTTACTGTTCTAGGTATTATGTGGTTAGAGAAGAACAACGCGAGACAGTTATTGCCTTATTGTGCATCAGTAATTTTGCAGATATTGTCACGGGAACAACACGTGGGATTCAAAGAGATCTGCCACCTCTTGGAGATAACTGTTGCAGAAACCTCGACCTATTGAATCGAAACAGAAACCAATTTAGTTTCGTTTACTCACCTCTTTAGAAATAGGAACAAGAGTTTGCCACTAACGTGGCTATATCCCCCGCCCCTGTTGCAGAATTTACGACATAATTAAATCTAAACAAACCCTAACCTTTTTTAACCGAGGTAGAACTTGTCATGGAAATTGTAAAAAAAGAGAAGAGTTTGGAATCTAAGTTCATCTTGCTGCCATGGAAATGTAAAAAAATAAAAATTTCTAAAATTTCTAAATAGCAAAAGGCACCAGTTAAACATGTACCTGACAGACCTGCAAATTGTGATGAAATAAAATTGAACGGTTTATGAGTTATGCTCCGGAAACGAACACTACCCTCACAGAACCTAAGTCCATCTTGTTGCCATGGAAACGTAAAAAATAAATATTTCTAAAATTACTAAATAGCAAAAGGCACAAGTTCAGCATGTACCTGACAAACCTGCAAAGTTTGATGAAACAATATTGAACGGTTTATGAGTTATGCTCCGGAAACGAACACTACCCTCACAGAACCTAAGTCCATCTTGTTGCCATGGAAACGTAAAAAATAAATATTTCTAAAATTACTAAATAGCAAAAGGCACAAGTTCAGCATGTACCTGACAAACCTGCAAAGTTTGATGAAACAATATTGAACGGTTTATGAGTTATGCTCCGGAAACGAACCATACCCTCACAGAACCTAAGTCCATCTTGTTGCCATGGAAACGTAAAAAAAAAAAAAAATTCTAAAATTTCTTAATAGCAAAAGGCACCAGTTAAGCATGTACCCGACAGACCTGCAAAGTTTGATGAAATAAAATTGAACGGTTTATGAGTTATGCTCCGGAAACGAACACTACCCTCACAGAACCTAAGTCCATCTTGTTGCCATGGAAACGTAAAAAATAAATATTTCTAAAATTTCTAAATAGCAAAAGGCACCAGTTAAGCTTGTGCCTGACAGACCTGCAAAGTTTGATGAAAAATATTGAACGGTTTATGACTTATGCTTCGGAAACGAATCGTGACGGACGGACTAAGGACGGACGGACGGACGGAGCCCGTTTCTATATCCCCCGCCAACTTTGTTGGGCGGGGGGTAATAACAGGCAACTGTAGCTTAGGTTTTTGCTGTGTGTCTCGTGGTGAAATGTACGACTCCCTTCCTGGGTGGTGTGTTTATAAGTTATGGCATCGATTGACGATAACTTTGTTTGCTTGTCAGAAAGCTTTGTATGTAAGGAAAAGGATGAAATTAACACATTGATTTTGTTAACTTTGAATTCAACATCCTTTTTGAGAAGCCTTCTTCGTGGTCAGGTGGTACGGGTGGCCAACTGGTCAAATGTGCTGCAATTGTCTATGATGCCTTTGCTCATGAGTAACGCCTAAAGCCTGCGTCACTTCGATCTTTCTCCTCATAATATATTCAAAGCGGCGCTAAAGTCAACTAACTCACCAACTCATCGTTTTAGTTCATCTTTGCAGAGATTTGGTACAAAGTAAAATGAAACGTCATTTCTGAACGCCAAATGCTCAATAATGTATGCACTAAACATATCTTGGGAATTCCGGGTTAGAACTGGTCCCAAGTAACTCCTACTGGATTTTGCGCAAAATATCCATGATTTGACTGGTTTGTCGGGTCTAGAATCGAATATTTACAGGCCACCGTTCTAGAGATGGAATAGACATTTTGTGGCGCCAAACAACATTCAGTTAATGGCGCACTACACTGCACGACCATCTGATTCATTGATGATTTAGGCAGGTGTTCCATAAGGGAGTGGCAGTTATCGAAGTATTTCCTTGTTCCTATTAATATGAGAGGTGGGGTAGCCTAGTGGTTAAAGTGTTCGCTCTTCATGGCGAAGACTTGGGTACGAATCTCCACATAGGTACAATGTGTGAAGCCCGAATCGGCTGACCCTGCTTTGATATTGTTAAAATATTGTTAAAAGCGGCATAAAATCACTCACTCACTCCTATTAACAATGCATCGATAGTAACCGGTGAAAAGGATATTTGGAATGTAAATACAGGGGATGTTGCATGTTTTGTTTGTTTGTTTGTTGTTTAACGCCGCACTCAGCAATATTCCAGATACATGACGGCAGTCTGTAAATAATCGAGCCTGGACCAGATAATCCAGTGATTGACACCATTAGCATCGCTCTACTCAATTAGTATACGATGACATGCATCAACCAAGTCAGCGAGCCTGACCACCCGATCCCGTTAGTCGCCTCTAAGGACAAGCACAGTCGCCTTTTATGGAAAGTATGGGTTGTTGAAGACCTATTCTACCCGGGATCTTCACGGGTCGGATATCACATGTGCATGCATTGATAGATGTGTGGGTGACCTCTAGCACGGAATCCTCACCCGGGACCTAATATATGGTATTTGTACTGGCGTTGATGTCACTAACTAGACAACCTGGTTACATTATCTTTCAGAAAAGTATCTAACAGACTCAGTAAACAAGTGAGTGAGTGAGTGAGTTGGGTATTAACGCCGCTTTTAACATTATTCCAGTTATATCACGGCGTGTCAGCTTTATGTGGGAGGAAAGCCCGAAGTGATGCAGGTCTCAGACGTTTACCACCTCGGTGCAACCCACGAGCACGGGTATGGTGCTGACCTAGAAACATAATCGGGGCGAACAGGGGTTCGAACCCACAATCATAGGTTTCTGGCGTGCCCAAGGGACGCAACTCTGCACAGCGAATCCCAGCGCTTTAGACGACTGTGCCACCCGTGCCCCTCCCCCCACCTCCACCCCATCCCACTTCCACCCCAACCACCACCACCCCTCTACATTCCTGCATATATAAATAGCAACACGTTGTCCTACCTAACCGATTGGTTAATGTCACTGCAAAGATCACAAGTTAAATGACGCTGACGGTGGGCAGTAGTTGGATGAGTGGCCGTTTTCAGCAAAGTTGTCTCCTTATAGGATTCCAAATGAGTACTGATAACGGAACCTGCAATTATACCTTGTTAGTAAGTCTAAAAGAACATAATTCATTGATATTCAACTACTTCGCCAGATTGTTCTTCATTATATGTCAATCTGGAAATTATATTGATGAAAGACAGTTGGAAGGGCATCGTGTTATAAATCATCAAGATGGATTATAAACACGTTAATGTAGACAAGAAACAGTCTTGTTCTCCACCTTGTTTGATTGGGATCTTTCCACTTGTCTCGCCTGAATATCTGTCAAGCGCAGCAGATTCGTTGTACGACTGTGTATTATGCCTGGCTTTGGCCTGCATACCAAATAGTTTTTCAGGAGTAGTCCGTTGTGCCATGTGCGAACAAACGTCTCCCGATCACGTCCCAGACTAGCTCATAATGGGGAAAGGTCAGGACTCATGCCTTGCCATTGCATTATTGTTATCTTTTGCTGCTAAAGGTCACTCGTCAGTTACAAAACGGACCAGTATAGTTCGAAAACGCCATAACGTTTGGCGCAAGTGTGTTGTAACTGTAGTACTGTCGAGTGACCCATCAATGGACAACATGCAGTCCCTTTCATTCTGGCAGTCATATTATAATATCATTCAGGGTATCCACTCCTAAGCTTGTAACTGCAGAAAAAGAAAACACTCGAGCGGAATGTTGGCCACTATGAATATGTATCAGACCCATGACATTCCATGGAGGAAGGGTGTTGGTGTTGGTGTTGGTGATAGCTGCAACAAATCGAAACTTCAGAGGAATATTATAAGAAGGGTTTTTCGCGAACACCTCGTGTCATCACTGATTTTCAGAGGTCCATTCATGTATTTAGAGCTATTTTTTCCCTTTGCGCCAAATGGAATCTGTTTTGGCGGATATTCTCTTGCATTGACAATTTATATTTGACAATAAAAATATCACCTTACTGCCCCGAATCCTGTATAATGCATTTTATCAACTTTCCGACCAATTTTTTCACGATGAAAAATCGTGAACTAAAATGCAACAAAAGGGTCTGGCCTGACAGTGTTCTTGTCATGCTAAGTGTATGAACCAGGAAGAGTACAGAGAAGAAAAGTAATTTTAACATGACATGAGGCATGTTCCTGCAGAAGTCGGACTGTTGTTTATTCAATAGGTCATATACATTTCATCATAGATTGACTGCACAAACAAAAATGCTTTAAACTTTAAATTTACTTACCCAACTTTTTATGCATGTATATGATTTGTATGCGGTTCCTAATGGTTCATGTATAATTCTACACTGAAATATTTTCTGAGAGTGACATCCTCAACTCAGCATACATTCATTGTCAAGTTGAGTACATGTTGAGTTTTACGCTGTTTCATGACAGCTTGTGACACACAACGATGGTATTATCATTTGACGGAAAGTGGATGAAGCGGTCATTCAATATTGCCCTGAGCTTAGAAACAGGCCAACAATTAATTTCTTTCCTCCTTTCCAATCTGGCAAGCGCCATTGTGCGGATTCCGCGGCATCGAAGGACACTATAATCTCAATCTGGTCATAAGAGTGAGCGATTGTGGTTTTACGCTGATTATAACATTATTCCAGAATTATCTCATCGTGGAACACCAAAAATGGATATTGTATGTTTGTGGGGAATCGAACCCAAAGGATAAGCAAACGCTGTAATCGCTAGGCTACCCCAACGCCACTGTCATAATAGTTAACTAATGTCAGCTTGTTGTAAGGAGTGAACTTGATGACTTTGTGTCTTAATTACACAAAGTAATTAGCCATATGTAAAACAATATTCACTCACAAACTCATGTGATTTGAGTTACGTTATGATGATCATGTCAGAAGTGATCACACCATTTAGATTTAACAAAAGCGTCTTAGCGATGACATAAAATCATCAATATCCTCAATAATCAAATCAAACACACCACAACCAACATGGAATCTGTTTCAGCTGATAATTGGTTATTCTCTGGCGATGACATCTAATATTATTTTACATATCCTGATCACCTGCACAGCCTCTGTGTCATGGAGGTAATCGTAGAACCAATAGAGACAAAATTAATATCTTCCCGATAATGTTTGAAAACAATAATAATACCCCCAACACAATCGTTTTAGTTGATATTCTGAAAATGTTTTGTGGGTCTACAGTTGTCAGTTCAACGAAAACAGTAAATCTTGAAGCGCTGAAAATATACTCATATATTTCTAGTCATTGGTCAGATTGGCCAAGCTTCATCAAAATGGGTTTTCTGTTCCATATCTATGTAGTTCATATCAATCAACCGAGTCTGACCACCTGATCCATTCAATCGCCTCGTTCTCCATGCACAGTTTTCTGGGGACTTACAATTGTAGACATGCATTGGTTACAGTTCAAATCATATGACATAAATATGTTTTACTATAGTTTGGGTTGTGAAGGAATATGTGAAACCGTGATTAATTTAATGTGAATAAAACACATGTTTACTTCAGCAAAACACATTGTATTCACTTACAAAACACTGCAATGATTCTTTGTACAACATGCACGTAATATATATCCACTTCAGAATTAATCCCTGGCAGTGGTTCATAAAAAGCTTCCTAAACATCTGGAGACGAATACAATAGACGGTTCTGGGATGTGACATACAGAATTTTCATACAGAAAATACCTGTATGTAATGTACATCCACTCCAAGATGAATCCCCGGCAGTGGTTCACAACAGGCCTCCTGGACGTAAGGTACTAAAGTAAATACCTTCAGAGATCATGATCAGTATATGGTAACACGAATGAAAAAAGACATTGCATCACTTTTAACCAGCCTAGTAACCGATTATCATACCACTTATTAAGCCATTATTGTTTCAAATTTGCAATCTCTCTCAGATGTTTCCACAACGCTGTCTGATCTTCAGGGTACTCGTCCACGTGTATTATAAATTCCTCCTCAACCATGTTCAACAGACACTGGGGAAGGTCCCCTGCTTCAATGTCACCCACCAGTAAGATCAATATCCGGTTAGGAATGAGGGCATTCATGGAGTATATTGCTGCATTGATGGTGAAATGTGACCAGGCAGAGGGGTCTTCAAGGAAATCATGTGATACAACAAGAACAGTCTTCCAACTTTTGTTAATACCTTCTATAATTCCGTCAGCAATGTCATGACCCGGAAGTACTTCACGATCTTTTAAGAAGAGACGCACTGGGTGATTACAAAGCTCTAATGCAGGCCGAAGTTTCCGATAAACAAAAGGAATATCAGCTTCACAATATCCAATGTAGAGTGTGAAAGAAAAGTCTTTTCGAGTAAGATACTTGACGCCAAACCCAAGTATTCCCATGAGTATGTTTTTGAATCTTGTTGGATTCTTGGAGATAAGGTATACAGTTACAATAGACGTCAGGAAGACAGTCAAACATGGGACTGTGAGAGTGAACATCCATATACCAGTACAGTGACGGTGGATACTGATGTAATTCCTGACAACCTCAACAGTTCTTGTCATTTGTCCATTGTCCTGAAAACAAGGGAAATTCCTATCAGACTCATAAATTACTGGTGAGTCTATCAACCACAGGATGAAGTCCAGATTTTCACAGCCACAAGAAAATGTGTTGCCTGTAACTATGACTTTTAGACGGTTTCTTTCGGCTGAGGAATCCAAGTCAGATTGTGTATACTTATCCAAATGTCCTATCATATTATATGACATGTTCAGAAGCGTAAGACTTGGAAAAGTAGTTGTCACAATCGGAATGGTATCAAATTTGTTTTGCGAAAGATGAAGATATTTGATTCTATTTTGATTTAGGATGAATGGGAATAATTGGAGACCATTCAACGAAAGATCCAAATATACCACTAATTTAAGAGCACCAAATATATTTCGAGCTCTTAGCACATCATTGGCAAATTGTAAGTTGCAATCTTTCAAAGATAACGTTTTGACGTTTGAAAATGACTTAAAAAAGTCTCCAGTTACATTGCCAAGTTTGTTTCCAGATAAGTCAACGTGACTTACATTCTCCAACCCTTTCACACGAGCACGATCATGTTCTTGGTTGTATCCAAAAAGCAATGTGTCAAGATTTTTTGTATTTGTAAACGTGATTTCATCATACGTATCTGCCAACATGAATGTTTCTGTTGCATCAAAATAATGGAGTTTTGGGGGTAGCATCAGTGTGAGGTTCCCCTTTTTCCTCCCTTCTGCTCCTTCCCATCTGCCTAAAGTTCCGTCATATGTATGATGTTGATGACTTAAGTCCAGGTATCTCATTTGTGAGAACACCGCAACGAATAACACAAAACGTGCATCTCCAATGAGACGGTTTTCTGAGAGATCAAACACTTCCAAACATTCACGGATGGGTGACTTGTTTAAAGAACCTGTTTCAATTAAACATATCCGGTTACCTTTCAAGGACAACTCTAAAACACATATCTGAGTCAAAAAGCGTGTGCTGTGTTCTGTTAGGATACGGTCATCTACATCTTCCTTTAAGCGAGCAGGGGTTTTAAATGTGTTGTTCAACCATATTCTAGTCATGATCCTTCCAACAAGAGGATAAAGAAGATGTAAAACCTTTTGGATACCGATGGCATTGTTGGTTAGTTCCAGATGTTTGAGGAAGGGCAACGGTTCAAGAACACCACTCTCACACAACGTTAAATGGTGACAGTGATTTAGAAGGAGTACCTCAAGTTTAGTTTCATTTAAACTTTGAAACGTTTCATTTGTTAATTTTTCTAATGAACAATGACCACCATCCATCTTGAGAACTTTGAGATTTGTCAGTTTGGAGAATCCAGACCCAAAGACAGCATCTGGAACGGGGTCAATGTACAGGCTGTGGAGCTTGGTGAGGGGAGCTAACACCAAATCTGGATATGCTTTCATCTTATTATTCTCAAGATTGAGTGTATGCAAATTCCCAAGGTCTCGGAAAAGTCCTTCGGGTAAGCAGTTGTTGTGCTGTGAGAGTTTGTTACTAGCAAGAAGCAGAGTGGTCAGACTGAATATCCCCACCAAGGCATCAGGCTCCATAGTGATAAGTAAGTTATTGTTCAGGTTTATGTGCGTAAGACAGTTTAAGTTTTGAAATGTCATATTTCTCAGAACTGTTATCTGATTGTCACTGATGTCAAGAGAGGTAATATTCCGTGGGAGGTCGTCAGGAACTTGCTGGAGTTGTCTCCCTCTACAGTCAACAAACAGTTCGCCATATTGGTCATGGAAAGTACAGACGTGAGTGTTGACCTTTGAGATCCTTACTGCAACCATTATGAGAATTCCGATTGCCGCTGCCATTATGTCTGGAAAAAGAATAAACGAGGTGATGACTTCCCAACAACGTTTATAATGACATTTTTAGAATGTGTAGAATTTGTATGCGCGCTATTTTAAAGAACACTTGGTTACGTGTCGACTTTCAGATTGAAACAATAAGTTAATTAGGAAATCTTTACTCAAAATAATTCAGTGTGAAATCAACAATGAAATGTTTTTCAATTAACAACTGTATTATAAAATTAACTAGGTAATTACAATGACAGTACACTCTAGAGTACAATTTAATGGCAGTACAATTACAATGGCAGAATGAAACACAATAGCAGTGGCGATACCAAGTCAGTGACTATAATATTAACCTAGCAGCATGTGCAAGTAATAATTCGCGTTTCTGGTTCCTTTGTAGGGACAACAAAGTAAGATAAACTAGTTGTTCAACGGAGCTAAAAAACGTACATGAGAAAAATCACAACTGCTATTTAAACATAAACATGATATACATTATCATTTGTTTTCAATCAATGTTAATAAATGACAAATTGCTTTGTATGTTTAAACGCCTCACTATTCAAGTAATCTTCCAGCTATGAAACGGTGGCTTGTAAATAAACGAGTCTGGGTTGAGGTGTTTTTGCTTGTTAGTTTAACACAGCATTCAGCAATATCTCGGCTGTATTACGGCGGCCTGTCAAGGCCGGACGATCAAGTGAATGATATTTTGAGTAACGTTCCACCCAGTTGGGATAAGTTTACACGCAATCAGCCAAGTACCCGAATCTGACAAGTAGTTTCATTTAGTCGCCTCTTCCGGCCAGTGCTAGGGATCACTTCCAAATAGGAATGCCCACGGGTTTCCAGTTTAGTCGCATCTTACGACTAACATGTGGTGCTAGTGATACATTCTACCCCGAGTTGCCAGTTTCATTCGACCCATTGTGATGATCACCTTTGATCAGTGGGGGGCCTGGTAAGAATATAGGTCCTCAGCACATTATGCTTGTCGTCAGAGGCGACTAAATGAATCGGGTGGTCCGGCTTGGTGACATGGTTTATTGCGTATCCATAAGTTCTTGACTAACAAAAATGTATCATATTATATTCATGTAACATAGCGTCCAACTCAGTGCCAAAGGGAGAAATGATAACGACTTATAAGACAGCCCTGATATACACCACTAAGAGTATCAAAGTAATGAGAAATATATGTGTATGTTTTACAGCATATTTTACCTCACAATACATTTCCAATAAAACATTAAAATATTTTACCTTGAATTCCTTTCTTTAAAAAATGGTATACCAAAGACATTTTCTATTTACAGAGTCAAAAGCCTTTCTGAAAAAAGCAAATAAATTATAAAACCTATCATTATTCCTCGACAGATACTTTTGTACTAACACTGTAATACGAATGTATCATCAACAGTACTAAACAGCGGAAGAGAAACCAACTCATCTCTTTGGAAATATAAAAATAAGACAAACTGTAGCTTACGTTTGTGCTGTGTCTCGAGGTGAAATGTTGTGTACGACTGGCTCCCTTCTAGCTTAGTGTATATTTTTTAGTAGCCTCAGTTCATTTATCTATTTTCCTCATGGCCAATAGCTTTCCTAAACATTCTAGTTCATATTGTGACGTCAAACAACATTCAATTCATGACAAAGGCAATTGTTCAACAAGATTAAGGAAGTTGCATTTATCAGTGTTTTTCCTTCTTCCCGTTGATAGTGACGGATAATAACTGACAAAGGAAACCTTTGGAATGCATATAGAGGGGATATTGATTACAGGAAATGCTTGAAAATGGCATGTATTGAATCCTCGCTGGATGCATACTGGCGTTCGTGTCACTAACGAGGCTACATGTCTTCATTATTTGTCAGAAAAGTATCCAACTGACCCAGTAGACACGGGAACATGAACCACCTGGTCCTTGCAGAGATCTTGGACTACCTCCTACTTTGTCCTACTAACGAGGCTACGTGTCTTCATTATTTTTCAGAAAAGTATCCAACTGACCCAGTAGACAAGTGCTCATGAACCATCTGACGCCGGATAATTTTGTTAATTTATTGTGTTTCTTTTTATGTGCAGCGTTACGCTTATCGGTATCGTGCATACGATGGCTTTGTGAATCATTGGGAAGTTGAATTCACTACTGATAACACTGATAAGACAGATTACAATTTAACGTCAGTGACGAAAGATGTTCCTGGTGAATTCGAGCTATTCAGATTCCTTTTTAAAGGAGACAATGTACATGTTTGAAAATAAGTATTTGCAAGCGGATGATGCCTCTGGCCCACTTTCGTGGTGCCAGTGTGTTCGTAAACACAGTAGTCCTAGCTGGTGATGTGGAGAGTAATCCTGAACCTAATTCCAGACAGACTACCCTCACAAGTACTGGTGATATCCAGGTAGAGCCGGCAGATATTTCTGTTGCTGGAGCTACTGAAAACCTAACGGAACAAACTGTAGTAATTGACATTACCATACATGAACATTACCAGAGCATAAACTCATTTGAACTCATTGAAGTGGTAAGAAGAGGCATAAGACAAGAGTGAGATGGTATTCACTTCGGAATTACCTGCTATTCGCCGGTATACCTGGTGACCCCGAGGAAAGCCCTCTTCAGTGCGAGGAACATGTGCGTTCTTTTCTATATGATTTCCTTATATGACTGAATATCAAATTGACGATATACATTTTTCATATAACACGTGGACCACGTTCACGACAATAGTCAGGCCCTATCAGAAAAGTTCTTATCCAGATATGACACAGATGCAATATTTGATTCGGCACATGTTTTATTAAAATATGATTCAAAGCTAAAAGTATCCAATGACTACACCTACAGAATACGAACCAGGAGGAAGCTGGTTCTTCCTTTATAAATTATATTCTCCAGAAATGAGGTTGAGGGTTTACTTGTCGGATGACAAGCTGGTCTCAGATAAAGTGACGTATCTGTATGAAGAATGAAGTGCAGATCTTGTCACACAGGGTAAAACCGTTCTCTTCTCCTTCTGCACTGACACCTACTGCGACCCTCATCCTGAGATTCACACCCCTAGTGACTCGGGTGTGACCCAGCGCACACCTACACGGGTGCTCCATCTTTAGCTAGAATGTAAACGGATTTTATAACAAGCTTAGTATTTCTAACGTAATCAATTTTCTTTCTAATTTAGATTTTGTCTGTTGGAAACATGGTCACATATATTTAGCCAATATTCCTGTTTCCAGTCGATTCGCAAAAAGAATAAAAATATGTCCGCTTTAGTAGACGTCTCACAGTACATATCAAAGGTATTTTCTCGTTCACATTCAGTGTGACCGAACACTATTTGTCTCATAAACTAAAAGCGACCCAAAATATTTAACATTCTTAGTTTAAAGCGTGGTCAATTCTACGATCCCGACCATATCATGAGCACGTGTTTCATATAAATCACTACCTAATTCTACCATGGCATTAAAGAATGCTCGATTCGGATTGCTTAAAAGGACGTTTCCTTCTTGCTACAGAAACCAAGAAGATGGAGATGCCTACTTCTTGCCTGAATGACTTACCCCAAACTTTCACATAGATGTTATCAAAGAGTAACTCAAGCTGCTGGATGCTGACATTAATGGATATGTGAAAGTGACCAAACGTCCATCGAGACAGAATGTACAAATGTTAACACGGACTTTTAATGGGATTTATTCAACCACGCCAGAGGATATATGCTCAGCGTTTGGCATGTACTTTGCTGATTCAGCTACGTCTGTAATGTCGGATAGTTTTGATAAATCCTTTGTACTTTCTAAATCGGAGAAGTGGTATTTTAGGTAACCTCCTGTTGAATGTGTTACTTCGTATAAATATTACGGCATAACTTTCTCTAGAAATATCTCTTGGGATAAGCACTTTGACAGTGCTATTTTGCAATCTAAATGAGCATTATTTTGTATTTTAAGAAGTTTATCAATTCTAAAACCTATACTTTTCTTTTCTTGGTGTTGAGATGTCCGCTTTTAACCATGTTGCAATACTAGAGGAAATAAGGACGATCTAAGGCCTTGAAATTTTTACACTGACAGCCATACAACCACCATCTGTATCGTTGAATGAAGTCGTTCCTCGAAAAGAGAGGTGACATGAGCGTGTATATGCTCAAGTCGCCCTGTAGGAACATCTTTTGTAGTTTCTTCACAACAAAAGTATTCAGTTATCATTTGATGAGAAAGGTATGTTAAGAACTACCTCAGTAAGCCAGTCACAATGACAGCGCGTCGTAATACATGTACATGTCAAAATGGACGACACGATAAACGTGACAGGAGATATTTCCGAAGTTGTTAATGAACCTGTGGCGGTTACATGTGTTAGATATTATTGATCAATTGATCACTGAAAGGTGATTGTAAAGATGTGTCAAAAAGATACTAAGCTAAATTCATATATAGCTGGGCGGTCGGGTAGCCTAGTGGTTAAAGCGTTCGCTCGTCACGCCGAACACCCGGGTTCGATTCCCGACATGGGTACAATGTGTGAAGCCCATTTCTGGTGTCCCCCGCCGTGATATTGCTGGAATATTGCTAAAAGCGGCGTAAAACCATACTCACTCACTCACTCACTCACTCACTCACTCACTCATATATAGCTGTAGACTGACACGAATCGAGTGGCTACCATAATAGTTTGGAAGTGAATTTCTGCGTTTTGTTCCTCGGATGGGTCGTAGCGAGGATATTCGTGAACGAAAATGCTCTCAAGCACTCTGACGTTTCTCAATGTATGCTACAACACTAAGTTCATAATTAAAGGGTCTAAATGATATAAAAAAAACGCCTCTGTAATTATTCGTGCTGAGGAATTCCCCGGGGTTCCCCCAGGAATTTTGAAGTAGTCCGTCAGTGTTTACGTCATTTCAAGAATACAATCTCGTGAAAAACGTATGAACTTCAAAATGTGTCGTTCATACACTTATGAACATCATGTGGCCAACCTCTCGTCCAATGGAAACGCCGTATTTCGTGTAAACTTCATATTTGAAAATTATTCTAAAACCGTTTAAGTTGAAAAACCTCTGATATAGATACTTCCCCTTTGCTCACTATGACTATTTACATTCGAAAGTTTCCTTTCACCAGTTACTGTTTATGTACTATTAACATGAACCAGGAAATACATTGATGTCTGCCACTTCCGAGTGGAACAATTGTCCAAATAATGTATAGATCATCAGATGATCGGTCAGTGTGCAGTGAGGCACTAGAAGAATGTTGTTTGGCGCCACAAAACGACAATTTCATCCACATGACTGCGGCTTGTACATAATCACGTTAGGACCAGACAAACCAGTGATTGATATAATGAGAAGCATCCCACGCTTCTGTGTAATATACGATGCAATCAACCAAGTCAACAAGTCATGGCACCCAATCCACATAAACAGAAGTTATTTGGAACCAGTTTTAATCCGGAATCCCCACGATATGTTCAGTGTATACATTTCGGAGCATTTTGATCTGTTTAACTTGGCGTTCAGAAATCACATCAAGACCAAATTGACACATGCCATAGAGGTTTACCTTACAAAGGCAGGAGACCGCCTCCGTGGTCTAGTGGTAGAGCGTCCACCCGAGAGCGGTAGGTCCGGGGTTCGATCCCCGGCCGTGTCATACCAAAAGATGTTAAAAGATGGTACTTGTTGTTACCCTGTCTGGCGCTCGGCATCTGGGCTAAAACAAGGACGGGTCGGCTCGGAGTCAGTATACTGTGTCTGAGTGGGGTAATCATGTTAAACTGAGGCATGGTATCTCAGTGAACTAGCACTATAAATCGGCATCAGCCCTGACTAGTACAGGCAGCCACGCAAACACACACACGTACATGCACGTCGCTATATAAGTGCAATAATCTTGGACGCGACGTTAAACCCAATTTCACCTCACCTACAAAGGCATGATATTGAAATGATAATTAGGGCCAATATGGGATCCGACCCAACGATAGCGTCATGGCTGAGGGACGCAAATATCCACCAACAATTGCAGCATGACTTTTCATGAAAAGGCGCTCTCAATAAAGAATGTTGTCTTTAAAGTATAATAATTCAGTGTGCTAGTTTCGTACTTTTCCTTTTCTCAAACATGACATCTTTATAGCTGTAGCGAGATAAATGACAAGCCTGTCCTTTTCCTTTCCTCAATCATGACATCTTTATAGCTGTAGCGAGATAAATGACAAGCATGTCCTTTTCCTTTCCTCAATCATGACATCTTTATAGCTGTAGCGAGATAAATGACAAGCATGTCCTTTTCCTTTTCTCAATCATGACATCTTTATAGCTGTAGAGAGATAAATGACAAGCCTGTCCTTTTCCTTTTCTCAATCATGACATCTTTATAGCTGTAGTGAGATAAATGACAAGCTTGTCATGTAATCAATGGCATATCTAGTATCAGGAAAGCGATTGGTAAAGGAAGTAATACATTGAACAAGAAGGAAGCGACTCGCACTACAAGACACAGCACAAACCTTAGCTACAGTTTGTCTTTTA